AAATAACAGAGGAAATAATTCTCTACAAAATGAAAATATCTTCCATTTGTGTATGACGTTTTTTGTTTTACCCAGATATATCAATCTTACGAAAGACACAAAAGTTTTCTTTTGTTTTTTTTTGTATTTCGTATAGAAACGAAATTTTTGTGGCTTCCGTACGATTGATTTGTCTTGGTCGAAAAACATTGTGGAGAATTGTTTGTTTTATTGTTCTGAGTAATTCAAACAGAATTCTATTATTAAATTCTGCGTAATAAAAAACTTGGCTTTCAGTTTTTCAGAAATTCTATCCTTGAAAAACTAGCAATCATTTTCTTCTTCAAAAATTCTTATTGGGAATGAAAGTCTCTACATAAATCACTATTTAGATTCTTATTAGTGCCAATGACAGTGAAAAATAAACTTTGTCGAATAATTTTGAAAGACACTATATATAGTACAGCCCATCAGGAAGAAGATGGAGCCAGCCTAACGTGCTCTAGTATATACAGACATTTTTATTCTAAATGAAACCTTAATAATACCTCCAAAAAGCCGATCATCATTTTCTAATCTTCATGCAAACATGGATATCATCATTCTATATTTAGATCTCTCTCTTCAATTTACGTATATAATCATGTGTTCCAAGTGTAAACAATGAGATTAATAGTAACCAGAAACCTTATATAGTGTTATTCCGTCCGCTTTCAAATTTCTTGTATCAAAAAACATCATATTTTAGAAATGGTTTTTTTTTTTGGAAGGCATTAATATTTCATTTAATATTAATCTCATTGGATAAAATCACTCACCTTATCCATACTAGCTTCATTTAATCTCATAATGCTTGAATGAGCTAATTTTTCGAAGATATGTTTAACAGATTTTTTTGGATAAAGTTCTTGTGGTCGAAAAACTTCATCAACAAATTTACTATTAAACATCGCACCGACAATATCATTTATCACTAAAAATTGAATTAAATTATTCTCTTCATTCGTTTTTCTTTTATTTTTAATACCTTTAGCTGCTTTTTGATCAACAATTTCTTGAGCTGATAAACGTTGATCTAATATATATACCATTTCACCACCCATATTAAAGAAAATAATCGGAAAACTTTTTAATGACATGTTTCAAAACACTTTGCAGATTTTAAACAAATAGTAAGCTTTTATTTCTTCTTTTTCTTTTCAACCATTATCTGATTTAACGTTGCGGTAAATCCTCTGTTATTGCGTATATATTTCAGAAAAAAGATGGCGCTTTTCATTATCGGTTCTGTATATAAAAATTTGCGTGCGTATTTAAAAATCTAATGAAACTATCTGAGATTGTCTGGAGAGTATTTTTGAATGAACATGTATTTATGATATAATTTTTTGGTTAAAAAATAAGAAAATCCTAGAATCACAACTTGCATCTTAAAAGTACATCAGGTATATTGAATCAATAAGCGAAACGAGAAAAAAAATAGAACATTTCACTATAGATTCATCCAACCGTGGTAGCCGTATTATTAGAGAAAGAAAGGAAAAATATGTGTTCAATGACATTATGAAGAAAGAACAAAGAAAAAAAACGTACAAGTTGAAAAAGAGGCTATACTATTGCATATACACAACATATAATACGTATACAATATAAAAGCCACCATAGATAAAAAAGATTATTATCGAATAAAATTTTTTTCCTTTGCTTTTAGAGTTATATTTATTATTAGTTTAATATTTTCTTTCATTCATCTGCTAGCCTTTTGTAACGATATGTGAAATGTGGTTAATTATTCGTTATCTATCATTATTTTTTCGATCACGAAGACATTTTTCGTTTTTATTTGTTATTAGTTTATTTTTTTTGACAGTAAATATTTTATTTACTATTAATGATAATCGTCAATCGGTTCATTTGCTACTAAATCCAAATGACAAATTAATATCAAAAAAGCCTGAAAGTATTTTGCTAAATGGATTAATTACAAAAACTAATACTATTATTCAAAAGTAAGAACCATTGAAATCGTTTGATGTATTTGTTAAATATTATGATCATTTAATGAGATATTGATATTGTCTATGTCTTTTTTGTTTTAGAAAAGGATTATGGCCAGTCGATGAAAAAGGTCGTTCGTTAAAAACTGATTTTCTCGTCCTTACTATACAAGGACATTATGGTTCTTATGTTACTGAAGGTACACATGGACAATGTTTATCATCAAATACAACATTTACTTGGACAACTCAAAAAGATCGAATTAATGAAGTTGATTTTGTTGTATGTCATGGTGTTCCTTTTGATTCATATTCTCATTTGCTTCGTTTACAATTAAATAATGAACAACAACAATATTCAATGGGTTTTATTTTGGAAAGTGAAGCAAATTCACCAACAGAGGGTGATTGGACACGATATAATTTTAAAATGTCATATAATCTTGATGATAGTTATCCAGAACCAGCGACATATTTTGATGTAAATCTATATATAATTGATTTACTTAAACCACCGTCAATAACATTTGAACAAAAAGAAAAACAAGCAGATATTGTTTGGATTATTTCAAATTGTCAAGTA